ATTCATAAATTTAGAAGAGCGATGTGCTAAACCCCAGTTTAATAAGTCTAATGTTAAAGTAACTTTTAAGTACCTTCCTGAAGAATCTTTGTTCCAAAAGACAGAAGTAAATCAGCAAATGAGCTGTAAAATAAATTTATGCAATGTTTTATTTTTCTATTGATATTCAGGATTGAAGTTGAGGGAGGTGTGCATTTGTGTTGTAACATCCAAATGATTGTATAGAAGACACTCATGCTATAGAAAGTGGTAAAGATGTTAGTTCATGTCTCATGGGATCTCATATACATCTGCAAGACTAGTCTTAGAGGCTTTCTACCATTGATTCAATAAACAGATGAGCTTCTACTATGGGTTGTGTAACTGCTGGGGATATACTTGGGGATAGGGATAAGCAAAGCCCATGCTGTCAGAGAGTTTATGTGCTTAGGGCTCATTGTATAGTTTCCATTTTTAAAGTTCTTGACTTCAGAGTGGCCATTTAATTACCAAAGAATAGCTTTATTCCTACCTGTAGTAAATGTGTTTTGTTGAATTGGACTGAGTTTTAGTGTATTAAAACCAAACCTGCCTTAATATGAGACAGTAGAACCATCCTTCAGTGTACGGAACACAGTGCAGAATAAAATGCTGGTATTGTAAAACTTCTAAACATCTAATGTTCCGTGTTCTTATGGAACAAACTCTGGACGTGATAGATGCGTTAAAATGTAAAGGATCTTTAAAGCAGTTATTTTTTAGTATGTTTGAAAACAATTTTAGTAGTAAAATTAGAAACCTAAAACAAAAATATATAGTGGTTGTATGAGGTGATACAGCAAGGTTTAGAAGTATGGTGGCCTGGCAACTGGATTATCCCTAAAAATGCCAAGAATAAATTTGCACATATTATATAATTTCTAATTAAAATCCATTTATGACTTGCTTACTGTTAAAATTACATTAGATAAAATTACGGATTAAAGTGGTCAGTGTTAGCAATTATACTCTTGATAGGGAGAGGAGAAACATTGTCTAGCGGTCCCACGTTTGGTTTGTTTGCTTGGTTTTGTGGGAAGGAAAAAATATCACTTAGAGAAGGTTGTATGATTTGGCTGTCTTTTCCAGAAGTTATTAGCAAAGTCCACCTTTGGGCTAGATACGATATAGGGCTGATAAGTGGTGTGTTATTAAAGAGCGATTTCACTATTGAGGCTGCTGGCATTTTCTATAAATTGAAATTTTTAAGAGAGGGAGGGGGAATTTAACCTTTCCTTGGCTTATACATTCTATAAAGTTGCTTTGTTGTCATATCTTCAGATATGTGGTACTGATGTGTTATTATTTCTCATTTCTGGAATAAAAAAGGCTTTAAGAGTGAAGTGTAAGTTCTTACATGCTTTTCACCTTTTAATTCTAATGGAGTAAACACTACAATGAAAATATTGAGTGAATTGTAATATTAACAAATTATATTCTGCAGTTTCAATTATGAACAGCTCTTACCCATTTCCCGAAAATAAACAACCCACTCTCCCACCAAGTAATATAAAAACTCTAATTGATAGCAGCATAGAAATATTTTTCCAGTGTGTTTTAAGATGCACTTTCTGGGCTGACACTGGTTTTGCAAACATGCTGCAAGAATTTCAATAACAAAAGCATTATGCTCTTTCTTAATAGCAAAATTGGAGAAGAACAATCAGCAGAAGATGCAGAAGATGGGCCTCCTGAACTCCTGGTATATGTTGGCTTTCTTATGCAAGATGAAATGTCACATGCAGATTGGATTCTGTCATTGATTCCATGTATATGAAAATGAGCCAAAACTTCAAATTCTAGTTCTTAATTTCCAATTGGAGATCTTGGAGGTTGTTGTAATTGGGGTTTGACATTTATTGAAAATAGGAAATAGAGCCCAGTAGGTTTTGGCCAATGTTTCATTAAGAATAATTCCAGCTCCTGGGAAACAGTGTATAGTAACTCCTTATTGTGGGGAAAATTTTTAATGACTGGATTTTTAAGTTCCCTGCCCAGAAACTAAACTTCCTTGATCTTGTTGATGCCAATAGTGCCCATCTCCCTCCTATTCCTAATCAAATCATCTTGGCGGCCCCTTGAAGGTTAAGGTTTATGGGGTGGTGTACTAAGCCTGTGCCCTCCCTCCAAACTGCAGGACAGTGACACCCACCCCTGCCATTGCAAGACTGATGCTCTAACAAAAGATAAGAAACCAAGGCCTTTTTTTTGTTCCTATTAACAGTTTATTCATGGAGGACACACCGCCAAGATATCAGACTTCAGCTGGAACCCCAATGAGCCATGGGTCATTTGCTCGGTGTCTGAGGATAACATCATGCAGATATGGCAAATGGTGAGCTAAAATATTTTTTCTCTTAAATAACTATCTTGTAAATGAGAGATTTACTGATATAATAGAAATATTTCAAAAATCTAGATGTATATTGTACCAAATAGTTATATAAAGGGAATAATTTTAAAAAACCTTTTCCATTTTAATGACAATTTTTAGTTAAATATACATCTGTCCAGTCAGGAGAAATCTTTGTACGTATCTATAAAAACAGATGTAGACACAGCATGTGCTCTGATTTTCATGATTACTTTTCAACTGGGCTCTTGACATCACTGCTCTATATCCAATGTCTGTTGTGTCATAGACATGGAGAATAGAGGAGGAGCCCTAACCGGTTTGGCTCGGTGGATAGAGCATTGGCCTGTGGACTGAAGGGTTCCGGGTTCAATTTCGGCCAAGGGCACTTGCCCAGGTTGCGGCCTTGATCCCCAGTAGGGGCGTTCAAGAGGCAGCCAATCAATGATTCCCTCTCATCATTGATGTTTCTCTCTCCCTTCCTCTCTGAAATTATATATATATAATTTTAAAGAATAAAGGAGGAAAGTGTCAACGAGTGCACATGATACTGAGCGCTCTGAAGATTAGCACTAAGTACACGACCGACATCTCTAAGGCACTGAGGTGTTAATCAACCCTCATAAACCTCGGGGATATCACTCCCTCTAGATCAGCGGTTCTCAACCTGTGGGTCAAGACCCCTTTGGGGGTTGAACGACCCTTTCACAGGGGTCGCCTAAGACCATCGGAAAACATATATAATTACATATTGTTTTTGTGATTAATCACTATACTTTAATTATGTTCAATTTGTAACAATGAAAATACATCCTGCATATCAGATATTTACGATTCATAACAGTAGCAAAATTACAGTTATGAAGTAGCAACGAAAATAATTTTATGGTTGGGGTCACCACAACATGAACTGTATTAAAGGGTCGCAGCATTAGGAAGGTTGAGAACCACTGCTCTAAATGATGCTTGCAATGCTTTTGGGAAACACCTTTTATGAATAATAATTTAAATAAATAGTGCTTGGGCATCTAGGGGTTATATGTGGAATTATACACTGGCCTGCCTTTCCTCATTAAATTTATTAGAGTGTTTGGGGGTTGGGAAACACAAGGATAACTACTAAATAAACTACTCTAAAAATGTGTCCACTTCCAACACTGAAACACATTGCCCCGTGAATCCAAAAATCTGGATAGAATTATTAAATGCTATTTTTAGATAGTCTTGTAAAAACCATGGGGAGTTATACCTATGAATTAATTTGGTTGTTATCTCCAGGCTGAAAATATTTACAATGATGAAGAGTCAGATGTCACAACATCGGAACTGGAGGGGCAAGGATCTTAAACTCAAAGTATGAGAAATGTTTCTGTTGAATGTAATGCTAACATGAATGCTTGGTTTATCAAGCGCCAAAAAAAGCATTGTATAGTAGGAAATGTTAAGTGGGATGGCATATGGCATTCTTTACCTTCTGATTCTAGCACTTTCAAGTGAGCTATTGCGTTCTGTATCATATCGTAGCTTTTAGGGAAGAAATGTTGCTAAGAAAGAACATGACAGTTTTAAAATACAAGTAGCAGGGTAGTGCCTTTGATTAAAGTATTTTAAGTTCTTGTTTTCTGAAACTAAGTGCTTGCTGTTCCCAAATATGCAAGAATAACTTTTACACTTTTCCCCTCCAACACTTGTTGATTGGCTTTGCAGAAAATAAAGTTTGAAAATAAAATTTGTTTTATTCTTTTAGAACCTGGGTAGGGATGTGTGTCTGTCTGTCCCCTTTATTGAGGTGTGTGTTTGTGTGTGTGTGTGTGTGTGTGTCTGTCTGTCTGTCTGTCTCCCTTTCTTGTGAGCATTTCCTGAATTTCTTTCTACAGTGCATGACAGTATCCTAAATGCAAAGGTGGGAGAAGTTAGGTGTCTATTTTGTGTTTGGTAGATTTGTAAACCTAGAGAACTACCTTAACTTCTGTGTCATTTGACCCACACCCTGTTTGTGCTTTAACTTTGGGAGTGTTTTAAAGAAACACTAGATCCCCCCCCCCCCACCACCACCACCAAAAAAAAAGAATGAAAGAAAGCTTGTTTGCTTACATGACAGGGATCTACAGAGGGGACAAAACCAGCTTACAAGCTGGCCCCTCAACCTATATTGTAAGGCCTGCCAGCTAGGAATGGCTTTCACGTTTATTTTTTGAATGTTTAGACAAAAATAGAAACAAAAATATGTGACAAAAACCTTGTGTGGCCCACTATACCTAAAATACTATACCCCTGACTTAGAGAAAATTTAATGTTACATTTTGCTCATTATAAGGTCTTTCCTGTGTGTCTCTGTGTATAACAAATACCTATATATACTTAGTCCCCTGTTATTTAAATAGGTACACCCTGGAATGTGCTAAGAGTAGCCAAGACTGAAAAGGTACCAACAAACAGTGGTTTGGCTACATGAAATGGGTCTTCTGCCACCCAGAGGATAAACGGTGCCCCATCCCTTATTGCTTAAATTGTACAATAATAAAAGTACTTTTAAAGTCCAAGAAACCAACTACCTACAACTTTCTTTGGACTTTACTGTTATATATAATTAAAGCCATGTGGATAACAAAAGAATACACAGAAGCTGTTAAATTATCATACATATTTACTTAATCTATACAGAATTGAGTAGATAAAATCAGATTCACATTAGTGAAAAATCTCTACAAAATGTCCTTGAAAAGCAAAACAAGACTGCCTCTTAACAATTCGTATCCTCATGAAAGACGTGGGCTGTAAAAATAAAGCAGTGTGTTTAGCACAAACTAGAAGATATCTGCATCATTTTTTCACAGTTATTTCCATCTACAGTCTGAAAGAGGTAGATTTTTTCTGCAACACCTGAGAATTGAATTGTGATAACCAGGTGTTTATAATAAAGGCAGTTGCATACATAACTAAAAATACTGGTCTCAAGACCAAGAAATGTACTCCTACAAGTCGGGATGAAATGGTCCGTTTTCTCTACTGCCACTATAAATACACATAAGATTCCATGGTGGTGCAACAAGTGCAATTGAAGTGAATTTGACATTATTTAACCCTTTTCTGGGCCAGCCTAGTAGCAGTACAGTGTTCTAGAATATATTAGGTACAACAGCGTGCTACGAAGCCACAACACTGGGCTGGTGAGGTGACTGCTTTAGGAGAGTGTCCTTCTCAGGGTCCCATATATTTTTATTCACAGGATAATGGGAGGACAGATTCTGAAAGGACACCAAATGCATCCAAGACAGAATCAATATCCTTTAAACACCATGGTAGCATCTAGCTAAAAATACATAGTAGTAAGCCAAAAGCAGCAGGCCAAGTACTGTTAATCACATTTTTATAAAGCCCTTGAAAATAGGCAACAGGTCCAAAGATTTACAGTCTTCCACACAAACACACCACAAGGAGACGTGGTGGGCTACACAAATGGCTTAAAACATTAATAAGAGCTGTACATCCAGCAGGATTTTTGTGAAATGTGATTAGTACTAATTTTAAAGTAGATATTTCTGATAATACATACCATCATTTCCTCTCTGGGAAATGAGTCCAATATTTCATTTAGAAGCAGGGGGGAGGGGTATTTATAAGAGGCTGTTGGAGGGAGGGTATGATTGTTTCTGTTTCAAGCTCATTTTGACAGAGTGATTAGATAACCTACTTTGTGGATTTCTTTTCCTCTACCATCTGGCCCCTTGATTAATATGACCGATGGTGGAAGCTTAGATATAATCTTCCACTCCAGGTGCTGTTTCCTATCTACTGGACAATTTTCAATTCTTTCAACACAGTTTAGACCATGAATGTTTATGCAGTCTAGTAAGCAATTTAAGAAGTGTCAGTTTGGTAGTTTTGCTCAGTGGAATGTGCTAACATTAGTTCTACTGGAGCCTTTTTATCTCATAAAGTATTTCAATGCAAATTATACTAGGGACAAAAATCAAAACTTTAATCACTGCAGCTGAGCAATCATTTACTACATTTGACACTGTAAAGAACAAAGAAAAATTAATCCAAAGATGATGTGCTTAATTTCAAAAGTCCCCCCCATTCCAAGTGTAGAGATATTGATAATACTGTTTTTCTTTAAAAATAAAAACAGTAAGAAAAGGGTGAGAAACAGATGGAAAGCATTCATAATACATCCTGACTACTTAACTGTGCAAAGTTTTCCCAAAGTTAAAAATGTTGGTTCCAGTCTTTCTGTTTTGGAAATGAAATGAAATCAGTTTCAGTTGAATAGAGAACTTGGCTGATAGGACTGTTTTAAAAGTTGAACACCAATTTTAAATAGCCAGAAGGTAGTGGAGGGACTTCTGCTTGGTGAAAGCTACACATTAACTTACCTTCATTGTCTTAAAGGGATATCAGTAACTGCTTTCTGTGGGAAGTGGAGGATGTGTACCCAAATGGAAAACAAACCACCTACCCCATAAGCTTCTGGGTGGTCCAAATTCACCACTGGTTCTAACTAACCTGAAACTGAAGCAGTATGACTTAGTTACATAAACATTAAGCCTGTTTGTCGAATTATTTGCCTGCATATACTACATTGTTTACATGATACAATAGTCTGCCAAAACTTTGAGGAAATTGAGGCTACAACCACCTCAATTTGTCTAGTGATATATTATAAAAAATACTTGGAATTAAATATGCTGTTTGTTTCTGTCCCAACCCTAGAGGGGTGTTTTACTTGGCATTTAAATGGGTTATTAAACAAAACTAATCATCTTGATGTTTTCTTTTATTTATTAATATTGATGGGGGGCCAGGACGTTTAAATGAATTACTGTTTTCACATCAAGGAACCATTATCAGGACAAAGTTCTCTTGTAATGAATGGTCGGCCCTGTCTTGAGTGAAATTTTAATTAGGATGATTTTGTGCAAGGAGCAGTGAAGAAAGGACAAGGCAAATGACCACATGCATTCCAATGAAGGGAAACGAAGCAGATGTGCCACACAGCTGAGGAAAACTATTCAAAACTGCTAAGCAGCCTCCTGTACCACCTAAGTCCAGTAGTTCTAAGAAAATACAGATATGGTAGAAAAAGTAAGAAAATTTTCACCACAAAACCAATAATTACTACTAACAGAGAAAGTTATACACAAAATAGAGCTCTCAATACAGTGATCGTACTTCATCTCAGTCTACTGACTCGATGGTTGGCCCAGTGCCTAGGGATGCGGCCTTGTGTGCGGCTGGCTTCTCCTTGGCTGCCTTGGGCGCGGCCACCATGGGGACTCCAGCACCGCTGTTCCAGGCAGTGTTCAGCTCCTTAGAAGCCAGGGCTGCACAGGGCTGTGTCACACGCGGTGCTAGTTTTGCACCTGCCACTTTCCCCGAGACCTGCTCCTTTAGGACTTCCACCTTCTCGTTGAGCTCATTCCTCTCCGTCTGAAGAGCCCTGCACAGCTTCTCTAACCGTTCCAGTTTTATTTGAAAGGCCTTGTACTCTTTATCACGGACGGTTTTCTGTAGGAAAAAAAAAGACGTATGTAACCTCACTGAGGATGAATTGGGTTACTGGATACCAAAAAATTAAGTAATCTGAGCGACATTAGAAAGTACTTGTGTTTTTTTTTGTTTGTTTTGTTTTTTTATTTTTATTAGAAACATCGATGAGAGAGAAACATCGATCAGCTGCCTCCTGCACATCTCCCACTGGGGATGTGCCCGCAACCCAGGTACATGCCCTTGACCGGAATCGAACCTGGGACCTTTCAGTCCACAGGCCGACGCTCTATCCACTGAGCCAAACCGGTTTCGGCTAGAAAGTACTTGTTTAATCGCCTCATGAACATGTTCAATTCTTCAAGCATCTAACGTTCTAGCTAGCTTCACTGCAGACACATCTATGAATACCACAGGCTATTTGTAATACAATATTGTTTTAAGGTGACAAAATTCAATTCCCTTTGTCATGTTTCTTAAAACCAAAATACACTTTTAACATTTTATAGGCCCGGCTGGCATGGCTAAGTGGTTGAGCATTGATTTGTGAACTAGGAGGTCACAGTTCGATTCCTAGTCAGGCCATATGCCTGGGTTGTGGGCTTGATCCCATGAGGTGCATGGTGATAAATGATTCTCATCATTGATATTTCTCTCCCTTCCTATACCTTCCTCTCTGAAATCAAAAAATTTTTTTTAAATCATTAAAAAAAGAAACACATTTTGTATTGATGAAATATTCAGGAAATTCAAGAGACTAATTCATCACAAACTAGTAGATGAAAATTAAGGGCCACCCTAACCGGTTTGGCTCAGTGGATAGAGCATCGGCCTGCGGACTGAAGGGTCCCAGGTTCAATTCCGGTCAAGGGCATGCACCTTGGTTGCGGGCACATCCCCAGTAGGGAGTGTGCAGGAGGCAGCTGATCTATGTTTCTCTCTCATCAATGTTTCTAACTCTCTATCCCTCTCCCTTCCTCTGTAAGAAAATCAATAAAATATATATTTTTTTAAATTAAGAGCCTGATTAAAAACAGAACTCATTTTTGCATAGATTTCCTTTCTACCAATTTTCAGGTGAGAAGATCGAAGGTTTGAAATCTAGTGTGTGTAAACACATTTCAGCTTTAGAAGACTGCCTTTTTGAACAGACCAAGTTAAAACAGAAAGGGACCGGAGTTGTTCACCTGTTCTCTCACTGGGAAAGCTGACCAGTGCTTCTTGAGGCGGGGGCCCTGTTACCGACAGCACATCAGCACCAAGAAAGCCAAATTATCTGACCCCACCCAGGCATAGTGAATCAAACTTGGCGTGAGCCTAGCAGTCTGGGTCTGTCTAAACAAGCTGGAGTTAATGCAAGCTCAAGTTTGAGAAACCCTACTCTACACAAAAGCAAAATCTAGATGCTTTACAGCTTCTCCAACACAAGCCTGGGCTAATACACTGCAGACAGAGTAGGGAAGTTAATGCTTCATGCGGGCCTTACACCTACAACTGAGCTTTTCTGCCAGGAAAGCCAGCACAGGTTCCACTCAGCAATCCACCTGGCTCTGGCCAGAGTCCTGAACTATAGCACGAGTGTCACAGCACACACACCCTGCCCTGATATATACCTGAACTGTATGAGTCCCCATGACTAAGAACACACCTTAGTCACGGGAAACCACCTCACCTCTTCAGCCATCTGCAGAAGCGCTTTGTTATTGTTTTCCCACTTGGTACGCCATAATATTGTTTCTTTTTCCAGTTTTTTTATTTTCTTTGTCATCTGTGAATCAACACAATCGCAAATTTAAATTCAAAGTACCATGTCTTAGCTTAAAGTTCCTGTCCCACCACAAAAACCTTTGAATATTCCTCCCCACCCCCATCACGGCACATGCCTGACCCAGCTGACAGCTGTGCCTGAATGCTGGTAGCAGAGCTTATTTCAGAAGCTTCTAGGAACCAAAGCAGGGGTTTCATATTATGAGAAAAAGAAATCTAATCTCAATTTTGAGGCAGCAGCACATGGAGGAAGCTGTCACACATCACACCGAACTCAGTTAAGTTGGAGTGTATCTTTCATTCCATGTGGGGGGTAGCAAGAGGTGAGAACCTCCTTCTCCCCAAGTTGTACGAAAAAATGGCCATGTTTGTGAGTTTTCTGTCTGAATTGGATAATTCATATGATCCTTGGAAGAACCCCAAAAAGATTAAAAATTGGGTGCTCTACCACAACCTCTGAGACATCAGTTTCAGAACTAGAGGCAGCATAATTTAGTGATGACTCCAATAACCAAATTTGCTAATAATAAAATGGGTCCAGAAATAAAAAAATGTTTTTAAACCTATGCTACATGACCCCAGTTTTCTTAAGTTCAGAATGAGATATACCTATGCTCATCAATGAGCCCCATATTCAGGATTCCTTTATGCAGCATTGTCCCTCAGCTCTGATCCCAGTGGAGGCACCGAGCCAGATGCTGGTAGCAAGGAACAAAGATAAGACAGCCAGCGCTGCTCGGTGCATGGGTTACCCATGAAACTACAAGGCCGAGTGGGACAAAGGCTGTGGAAGAAGCCATGAAAGATCTTGGTTGAGTGCTAACCAACAGTGATCTCTAGCCACTAGCAGAGAGGAAATGTGTTCCAGTCCAAAGGATTCTCCAGAAGGATCCTGGATTGGGGAGCCCCCGTCTTAAACTCTTTCACCTCGACAGTGCCCATGCATTGGATGGAGCCCACAGCTACAGTGTTCACTGTGCGTAAGACTCCCCCCTCGACTGGAGCCTCAGCTGAAGGGACTGGCAGGCGGAACTAATCTGCAGCTCACTGAATTCTACAGATTACTGAGTCTAAAAATATCTGAAGGTAGTAATTTGAGCACTTAACATGGCTAAGCACTATCTAAAATACTCTACTTTATGAAGGGAAGGTATTTTTGTTATTTTTAACAAGGAAGGAACAGAAAGGTGCAGAAAGGTTAAATAACTTGTCTATGGTCACACATTATATGATGCAGTAGGGACATTAACCCAGAACCAACACGTAAGATTTAGTAATAGTCATGGCTAACACCTACCAAATGCTTACAAAGTGCAAGACACTGCTGTACTACTCCCCAACCCACCACCATTTTTAAAAAGCCCCCATTTTTAAGGGGAATATGCTAAGTAAACTAAGGATGGATGGGTATGGATGTATTTTGGTTCTTAGTTGACATCAAGGAAATCTCTTTTCCTTAATGTAGGCAGGAAAATGAAACAAAAGCCAAACAATTGGTTTGGTTGAGGGGAAAAAAATTCAGTGGGACTATAGTTAACACAAAAGAAAAGCTAAAAAGGTAGGAACACCAATATATACATATCAACTAACCAAAATAAGCAATTATTGTTTCAGGCTTGTATGACTTTAAATAATTTAATCTCCAAGGACACAGAACTATGTGAAGGGGGAATAGGGGAGAGGAATCACCTGAAATGAATAAAACATGACACACACACAAAAAAGAAACCACTTTATTTCTAACAAATGGTATTTAATAGAGGAATTTGCTTTAATAAAGACAATTTAAGAGCACAGAGATCACCAGCTTTGTGGGGTACACACAGGGCAAAATAACCAAATATGATGTCACTGGAGGATCAGAAAAGATGGAAGATAGTACCATAAGAACAAACTCATCCAAGTAGTGATCATGCTTAAAATAGCTTCTTTTTCAAATTCCCTTTTAAGTAACATTCTACTAAAAATATGCAAATACCTTTTCCATTTCCTGCCGGAAGGTTGTAAACAGTTCGTTGCTTTTTGCCATGGTAGTCTGGAATTCTTCAAACTTATCCATATAAAGAGAAAGCTACAGAAAAAGGTATAACATTCTGAGTTCCAGGTAAACAATTTAAAATCCCAAAGACTTTCATAATGAACACACTATGGTTAAATGTTAATTGTTACACAACTGACAGAAATAAGAACAAATGCCAAAAATAAATGTGAATAAACTATTTTAAACAAATAAGAACAAATGTGCATCCAATCCTTGGACAGTAGGCATAGATGGCTGAGTCCTAATAACCAACAGAAATGCACCCAAACTTAGGAAATCTGTTGATTTAACCATCTTTTCAGATGTAATGTTAAAAATGTAAAAATATTTACTAACTTCATTCTGCCAATTATATTAAAAATTGGAGAACTTCCCAGGCAGCGTGGCTCAGTGGTTGAACATCAACCCATGAACCAGGTCAGTTTGACTCCTGGTCAGAGCACATGCCCAGATTGTGGGCTCTATCCACAACGGGGGCCATGCAGGAGGCAGCCGATCAATAATTCTCTCTCATCATTGATGTTTCTATATCTCTCTCACTTCCTCTGAAATCAATAAAAACATATTTTTAAAAGGAAAAAACTGTACTAGGAAAAGAACATTCTTTTAGGATACTACCTGCACAATTCTTAGCTTGACATCCAAAAATATCTTTCCTTGACGTAGGCAGGAAAATAAAAGCCAAAGAACTGGTTTGGTTGGGGGAAAAAGAATTCAGTGGGAGTACAGTTAAAAAGAAAAAAGCTAAAAGGTAGAAATACTGATTTTTCATTTAACTCCTACTCTCAGAGAATTTTTATACTAGCTCGTAAAATAATGCTAACCAAGAGGCCAAGCAGAATACAGAACAGGGAGTCACCTCCTCCTAGAACAGGAATTCAGAGAAGGGGGTACACAATAGGGGTCAGAACAGAATAATTAGGGAAAGTTTCAGGTGGGCGAGGCCTGACCTAGGCCTCAAGGGTAGGCTGAATTATTTTAGACCAGAAGGGAACCTTTTAGAGTCCATCTAATATGATTATTTTCAGGATGAGAAAACAGGCCCAAAGAAATACAATGTTTTGCTCAAGGTCACACAATACATGTAAGGAAAGCAGAGAAGAATAAAAGATCATCAGTCCTAGCTGGTTTGGCTCAATGGAGCATTGGCTCTCAAACTGAAGGGACTCAGGAATAGGGAGTTCAATTCCAGTCAAGGGCATGTACCTCTATCGCAGGCTCGATCCCTTGGGGCGCTCCAGGGACATGTGGGAGGCAACCAATCGATGTCTCTCTAACATCGATGTTTCCTGTGTCTTTCCCCTTCCCCTCCACTCTCTCTAAAAATCAATGGGAAAATGTCCTCATGTGAGGATTAACAACAAAAAGATCACCAGAGGCCAAGAAACAGCATAAGTGACGCCTTTTCTCTTTTAGCAGTGCTGCATGAGGAAAATTAAACCAGCATGTGAACAGACCTGACCTAGGCCTCAAGGGTAGGTTGGAGAGGGAGTAGGATGTGAAACTGACAGAACCAACCCACCAGTTATCAGGTGGGATGGGCATATAAAGAGCACTTAGAAGCAAGCTCTGCTGAATGTGGGAGGGAGAAGCAGACTAGAAGCACTGTTACCAGTGACAAGCTAGATAGCCAAAGCATGCCTGCAGAAAGGTGAGGGCTAGGGCAAGGATGAAGACATTTAAGGGAATATTGCAGAAGAGTGCAGAGGACTTGTGAGCAGTCTGTAAAGGGACACACAATGACAGTGCCTCTGAGGCTGCTGGCCTGGAGGTGGGAACAACAGCAGTGCTCAGGCAGAATAGGGAGTTCTGGTACTTTAGGGAGATAAGAAGTTATGGCAGTTTTTATTAATGCTTCGTTTTTATTGAACATGGCACACACAGGCAGACTGCCCCATCTGAGAGGTCAATGCTGGCCCACTCTGGTAGTCAGTCAGTGGGAACTACCATGACACCTGGACTTATGTGGCTGGATTTACAACACAGTGGGTCAAGATACACCAAGTCTATGAGATCATCATCAAGTTCTGGAAACTGACATGGTAAGAGCACAGAATGAGACCGACTTTTGGGAAGGACAGCCACATTTAGGGAGCGGGAAAAGGAAGAGGTGACAGCAAAGGAAACAAACTAATGATCAAATCACATGACACAAGATGACACAGATCAGACGAAAGTTGCACTGGGTCCGGCCAGCATGGCTCAGTGGTTGAGCGTTGACCTATGAACCAGGAGGTCATGGTCTGATTCCTGGTCTGGACACATGCCTGAGTTGCAGGCTTAATCTCCAGTAGAGGGCATGGAGGAGGCAGCCGATCAATGATTCTCATCATTGATGTTTCTCTCTCTCCCTCTCCCTTTCTCTCTGAAATCAATAAAAACATATATTTTTTGGAGGAAAGGGAGGAGAGCATGTGCTGGGGGATGGGGATGGTCGGGGAGAGGTCAATGGAAGAAAAAGGAGACTTATGTAATATTTTAAACAATAAAGAATTTAAATATATATATATGCGTTTTTAAAAACCACCACCACCACCACCACCATAGCCTGGCCAGCGTAGTTCAGTGGTTGAGCGTTGACCTGTGAACCTGGAAGTCATGGTTCAATTCCCGGTCAGGGCTCATGACTGGGTTGCAGGCTCATTTCCCAGTGTGGACCATGTAGGAGGCAGCTGATCAATGATTCTCTCTCATCATTGATGTTTCCATTTCTATCCCTCTCTCCCTTCCTCTCTGAAACCAATAAAAACCATATCTTTGAAAAATAACTAATTTTGAGTCCTTACATTAAAGAAACTAATTATATAATAAATTTTTTAAATGAGTAATACTTTTTTCAACAGAATGTAATCCAGTTAATTGAAAAAGGGTGAATTATAGGTACAAACGCCTAATTTCCCTTGTTCATAAACACATGGGAAGTCTTTTCTGTACCTTTTCGTTGAGAGGGGAGGTATATGGTACCCTTACTCCACACAAGGCAACCATAAAGGAAGATTGCGTTAGGAAAAACCTAAGGGGTCTGGATTGAAAAATAGGGAGGCAACAAAGAAAAGCCCAGGCCCAGATGGCTTCATAGGTGAATTCTACCAAACATTTAAATGAGATTTCTGATTATTCTCAAATTCTTCCAAAAAATTAAACAGGAGGGGTCACTCCCAAACTTATTTTACAAAGCCAGCATTACCCTGATACCAAAGCCAGATAAGGATACTACAAGAAAATTACAGCCCTAACCGGTTTGGCTCAGTGGATAGAGCTTCGGCCTGCGGACTGACAGGTCCCAGGTTCGATTCCGGTCAAGGGCATGTACCTTGGTTGCGGGCACATCCCCAGTGGGAGGTGGGCAAGAGGCAGCTGATCGATGTTACTCTCTCATCGATGTTTCTGACTCTCTATCCCTCTCCCTTCCTCTCTGTAAAAAATCAATAAAATGTATTTTTTTTTAAAAAAAGAAAATTACAGACCAACACCCCTAATGAACATAAATACAAAAATTCTCAACAAAATACTACCAAACTGAATTTTTTAAATTTTTTTATTGATTTTTAAAGAAAGGAAGCGGGTGGGGAGATAGAGAGAGAGAAACATCAATTTGCTGTTCCACTTCTTTATGCATTCATTGGTTGCTTCTTGTATGTGCCCTGACCAGGGATGGAACCTGTAACCTTGGAGTATCGGGATGATGCTCTAACCAACTGAGCTACCTGGCCAGGGCCAAGCAAACTGAATTCAATCGTCAATGATCAAATGGGATTTACCCCGGGATGCAAGAATGGTTCAATATATGTAAATCAATAAATGTCATACACCAAAGATAAAAATCATGATTGCCTCGATAGATACAGAAAAGGCATTTGACAAAATTCAACATCCATTCATGATATAAATGCTCAACATATTTGGCATAGACGGAACATACTTCAACATAATAAAGGCCATATATGAAAGACCCACAGCTAACATCATACTTGACAGTAAAAGGCTGAAAGCTTTCCCTTTAAGATCAAGAATAAGATAAGGGTGCCCACTGGCACTACTTCTACTCAACACTACTGGAATGCCAAGCTAGAGCAATTGGGCAAGAAATAAAAGGCATCCAAATCAGAAAGGAAGAAGTAAAATTATCTCTGTATTGCTGATGATCTAATCTCATATATAGAAAATCCAAAGACTCCACCAAGACAGAACGAATTCAGTAAAGATAAAAAAATCAACATATAGAAATCAGTTCCGTTTCTATATACTAACAAAAAAATATTTGAAAAACAGAAATAAAGAACATAATCATCCTGGTTTACAATAGCATAAAAAACGATAAAATACTTAGCAATAAGTTTGAAGAAAAAAAAGAAAGATCTATACACTGAAAACTATAAGACACTGATGAAATTGAAGAAGACAGAAATAACTGGAAAGATATAGAAGAGTAATTAGTACTATTAAAATGTGTATATTACCTAAAGCCATTTATATAGTCAATGCAATAGAACCAGGTCCCTGGTTCTATTCCCTATCAAAATTCCAATGGCATTTTTTTTCATGGAAATAGAAAAAAGCAATCCTAATATTTGTATGGAACCACAAAGAACCTGAACAAAAAAATCTGTAGAAAGAACAAAACTGAAGGTGCTATGCTTCCTGATTTCAAACTATACTACAAAGCTAAAGTAATAAAACAGTATGGGACTGGCATAGAAACAGAGACCAATGGAACAGCACTGAGATCCAAGAAATAAACCTACACAAATATGGTGAAATAGGCTGATGAAAACCAAGATGGCGGCATAGGTAAACACCGGAGTTTGCTGCTTAGCACAACCACTTCAAGAATACAACTAAAAGACGGAACGGACATCATCCAGAACCACAGGAAGGCTGGCTGAGTGGAAATTCTACAACTAGAAGGAAAGAGAAAAGCATACCGAGACACAGAGGAGGTGCGGTGCGAAAGTAAAGTACAGAGGTACGGAGGCACATGCGGAGAGGGCTGGCAGCTGAGGACAAGGTTGTCTTTTTCAATTGGGAGA